ACGGGTAATGAAAAGAAGAAGTTGGACGAAAATGGGGACACCGGATCAAACCCTTAAATTAATATTAGCATTTGTTGTATAACACTAATGCCCGCTCAGCAACAAGCTCTATGCGCTTTACAATCTATACGATTACCCCAGCCATCTGAGAGCATTCTGAAACAACCTCAACATCCTGGGAAGCATACAGTGCAAGCTGCCATTTATAGGCGTTGAAACAATAACATACCTTTTACTCGTCAATCGAAAAAGCTTAAACTGTTACCACACATCCTATTGTATACACAAATAAAACACAACCAATAAACGCATGGGTGTAAAAAGAACAAAGTAACTGTTCCAAATAAAGACAAATACTCACAGTGAACTTCGAGGAGTAAGCATTTTTACCGTTTCTGATTTTTCATTGTTGTGAATTATTCCTTTTCGATCATTTTCTCATGACGTCAAATATACTAATATAGTATAGCTGATTCCTTTGTTAGAAAATACTGAAATGTTACCCACAACCCCCCCCCCCCGCCAACACATACACAAAACAAACTGAACCTGAAATTGACCTAAACAACTGAAAGAAAGCGACTTGTGAATAGCCCTACGATTTTGAAAGAGCAGATTGAACATTGGTTTCTGACTTCATGGTCTTAGTAACTCAAAACGGACAAAAATGTCAGACAGAACTTTGTAATTCTAAGGTAGCGTAATGCTTAGCAATTTTGAGGAAACGAAACCTCATTGGCGTATCGAAGCATGAACTCACTATTCGTGCTATTTGAATACCGTGCACAAAGACCTTTTCTTAGGTAGGGCCAGCGCCAATTTTTGTAGTTGAATAGCAGTGAATGCTTCTTTGGAGCAGGTTATATAACTCTTGTTGGCTCCATTTATCACTGTGTCTCGCAATCATTAAGTGTTTTTATCTCAATGATTTTATATATACCAGGTAATAATTTGTTCTAATGTTATGATCATGTGGTTGAGGAAACTATGACAAAACCAATTATCTGTAAAATCCGCACCGCATTTGAATGGCTCCACCGGGCTTCGAAAAGTTGGAAAAGCAACAACAACAAAAGTACGAATGTTGAAAAGTAAGGTGGGATATGCAGGAAGTGAAGTGTTATAGATAACAAGCTGACCTCTGGATTTCTAGATATAATTGTGTATATCGTCGGCGGAGAATTCTAACCGTCCAACTCCGATTTCGTAAATTTTACAGGAGAGACAAAAAAACTGAATTCAAAGGCTCCTATG